TGTGCTGAAAGTTTTGTGTCAGATATATAAATATGTCTTGCAGTGAAATTATTACCTTATTTCTCCATACCTGGAATAAAATTGTCTTAAGGATATCTGTACAATCATCATCTTATCTTAGGATACACTACCATGTAGTGATCCTTCATTATTTTAAATGAGATGTGAAACCTAGCTAGGGTAGGCCAGGGAATGATTAACCACTGGCGAGTAATCTGATTAAGACCCTTGTCATTAGACTGTTGTTTCATGTTATCTACCTTATGTTTGCTATTATCTAAAGTACAGTGTTAAAAAAAAGCTCTGCAGTGTTTCAGAAAATGAGTAAGAACTGTTATAAATGTATATATAAACGTTAAGATGAGTAATCATTGATACCGCATGAGTTACATGAAAGTATACCAAGAAATCATGTAATGAATTTATTGAACCAAACATTTTTTTAAAATTCTGAAGTATTTTCAAAGTTGTTATGAGGGCTAAACTATCCTGTGGAAAAGATGAATTTGCATATTGTCTTGTCAGTGGAGAAGGAAAGTGTTTATTGTGTAATAAATGTTTTATCCAGGGAGGAGTGTGTCATTATTTTTGCATCTCATATACCTTTTATTATCTAGTATTCTTTGCATCTGAACAGATACTTTTTATACGTATATGCCATTTCTTATACTAACTCATTATCTTACATAAGTATGTCTTATATAATTTTTTTTTTTTTTTTTTTAACAAGTCAGCCGTCTCCCACCGAGGCAGGGTGACCCAAAAAAGAAAGAAAATCCCCAAAAAGAAAATACTTTCATCATCATTCAACACTTTCACCACACTCACACATTATCACTGTTTTTGCAGAGGTGCTCAGAATACAACAGTTTAGAAGCATATACGTATAAAGATACACAACATATCCCTCCAAACTGCCAATATCCCAAACCCCTCCTTTAAAGTGCAGGTATTGTACTTCCCATTTCCAGGACTCAAGTCCGACTATATGAAAATAACCGGTTTCCCTGAATTTTTTTTTTTTTTTTTTTTTCAACAAGTCGGCCGTCTCCCACCGCGGCAGGGTGACCCAAAAAAGAAAGAAAATCCCCAAAAAGAAAATACTTTCATCATCATTCAACACTTTCACCACACTCGCACATTATCGCTGTTTTTGCAGAGGTGCTCAGAATACAACAGTTTAGAAGCATACATATATAAAGATACACAACATATCCCTCCAAACTGCCAATATCCCAAACCCCTCCTTTAAAGTGCAGGTATTGTACTTCCCATTTCCAGGACTCAAGTCTGACTATACGAAAATAACCGGTTTCCCTGAATCCCTTCACTAAATATTACCCTGCTCACACTCCAACAGATCGTCAGGTCCCAAGTACCATTCGTCTCCATTCACTCCTATCTAACACACTCACGCACGCTTGCTGGAAGTCCAAGCCCCTTTTCCACAAAACCTCCTTTACCCCCTCTCTCCAACCCTTTCGAGGACGACCCCCTACCCCGCCTTCCTTTCCCTATAGATTTATATGCTTTCCATGTCATTCTACTTTGATCCATTCTCTCTAAATGACCAAACCACCTCAACAACCCCTCTTCTGCCCTCTGACTAATACTTTTATTAACTCCACACCTTTTCCTAATTTCCACACTCCGAATTTTCTGCATAATATTTAAACCACACATTGCCCTTAAACAGGACATCTCCACTGCCTCCAACCGTCTCCTCGCTGCTGCATTTACCACCCAAGCTTCACACCCATATAAGAGTGTTGGTACTACTATACTTTCATACATTCCCTTCTTTGCCTCCATAGATAACGTTTTTTGACTCCACATATACCTCAACACACCACTCACCCTTTTTCCCTCATCAATTCTATGATTAACCTCATCCTTCATAAATCCATCCGCTGACACGTCAACTCCCAAGTATCTGAAAACATTCACTTCTTCCATACTCCTCCTCCCCAATTTGATATCCAATTTTTCTTTATCTAAATCATTTGACACCCTCATCACCTTACTCTTTTCTATGTTCACTTTCAACTTTCTACCTTTACACACATTCCCAAACTCATCCACTAACCTTTGCAATTTTTCTTTAGAATCTCCCATAAGCACAGTATCATCAGCAAAAAGTAACTGTGTCAATTCCCATTTTGAATTTGATTCCCCAAAATTTAATCCCACCCCTCTCCCGAACACCCTAGCATTTACTTCTTTTACAACCCCATCTATAAATATATTAAACAACCATGGTGACATTACACATCCCTGTCTAGAACCTACTTTTACTGGGAAGTAGTCTCCCTCTCTTCTACACACCCTAACCTGAGCCTCATTTTCTTCATAAAAACTCTTTACAGCATTTAGTAACTTACCACCTATTCCATACATTTGCAACATCTGCCACATTGCTCCTCTATCCACTCTATGCAACACTGCCACATTGCTCCTCTATCCACTCTATCATATGCCTTTTCTAAATCCATAAATGCAATAAAAACTTCCCTACCTTTATCTAAATACTGTTCACATATATGCTTCAATGTAAACACTTGATCTACACATCCCCAACCCACTCTGAAACCTCCTTGTTCATCCGTAATCCTACATTCTGTCTTGCCTCTAATTCTTTCAATTGTAACCCTACCGTACACTTTTCCTGGTATACTCAGCAAACTTATTCCTCTATAATTTTTACAATCTCTTTTGTCCCCTTTCCCTTTATATAAAGGGACTATACATGCTCTCTGCCAATCCCTAGGTACCTTCCCCTCTTTCATACATTTATTAAATAAAAGTACCAACCACTCCAACACTATATCCCCCCCTGCTTTTAACATTTCTGTCATGATCCCATCAGTTCCAGCTGCTTACCCCCTTTCATTCTACGTAATGCCTCACGTACCTCCCCCACACTTACATTCTGCTCTTCTTCACTCCTAAAAGATGGTATACCTCCCTGGCCAGTGCATGAAATTACCGCCTCCCTTTCTTCCTCAACCTTTAAAAGTTCCTCAAAATATTCTCGCCATCTACCTAATACCTCCCTCTCCCCATCTACTAACTCCCCTACTCTGTTTTTAACTGACAAATCCATACTTTCCCTAGGCTTTCTTAACTTGTTTAACTCACTCCAAAATTTTTTTCTTATTTTCATTAAAATTTCTTGACAGTGCCTCTCCCACTCTACCATCTGCTCTCCTTTTGCACTCTCTCACCACTCTCTTCACCTTTCTTTTACTCTCCATATACTCTGCTCTTTTATAACACTTCTGCTTTGTAAAAGCCTCTCATAAGCTACCTTTTCCTCTTTTATCACACCCTTTACTTCATCATTCCACCAATCACTCCTCTTTCCTCCTGCCCCCACCCTCCTATAACCACAAACTTCTGCCCCACATTCTAATACTGCATTTTTAAAACTATTCCAACCCTCTTCAACCCCCCCACTACTCATCTTTGCACTAGCCCACCTTTCTGCCAATAGTCGCTTATATCTCACCCGAACTTCCTCCTCCCTTAGTTTATACGCTTTCACCTCCCTCTTACTTGTTGTTGCCACCTTCCTCTTTTCCCATCTACCTCTTACTCTAACTGTAGCTACAACTAAATAATGATCCTATATATCAGTTGCCCCTCTATAAACATGTACATCCTGGAGCCTACCCATCAACCTTTTATCCACCAATACATAATCTAACAAACTACTTTCATTACGTGCTACATCATACCTTGTATATTTATTTATCCTCTTTTTCATAAAGTATGTATTACTTATTACCAAACCTCTTTCTACACATAGCTCAATTAAAGGCTCCCCATTTACATTTACCCCTGGCACCCCAAATTTACCTACTACTCCCTCCATAATATTTTTACCCACTTTAGCATAGAAATCCCCAACCACCATTACTCTTACACTTGATTCAAAACTCCCCACGCATTCACTCAACATTTCCCAAATCTCTCTCTCTCTCCTCTACATTTCTCTCTTCTCCAGGTGCATACACGCTTACTATAACCCACTTTTCACATCCAATCTTTATTTTACTCCACATAATCTTTGAATTAATACATTTATAGTCCCACTTTTCCTGCCATAGCTTATCCTTCAACATTATTGCTACTCCTTCTTTAGCTCTAACTCTATTTGAAACCCCTGACCTAATCCCATTTATTCCTCTCCATTGAAACTCTCCCACCCCTTCAGCTTTGTTTCACTTAAAGCCAGGACATCCAGCTTCTTCTCATTCATAACATCCACAATCATCTCTTTCTTATCATTTGCACAACATCCACACACATTCAGACTTCCCACTTTGACAATTTTCTTCTTATTATTCTTTTTAGTAATCTTTACAGGAAAAGGGGTTACTAGCCCATTGTTCCCGGCATTTTAGTTGACTTTTACAACACGCATGGCTTACGGAGGAAAGATTCTTATTCCTCTTCCCCATGGATATAAAAGGAAAAGTAATAAGACCAAGAACTGTTAAGATAAAATCAATAAAAACTCAGATGAGTGTGTATAAATAAACGTGTACATGTATGTGTAGTGTGACCTAAGTGTAAGTAGAAGTAGCAAGACATACCTGTAATCTTGCATATTTATGAGACAGACAAAAGACACCAGCAATCCTACCATCATGTAAAACAATTACAGGCTTTCGTTTCACACTCACTTGGAAGGATGGTAGTACCTCCCTGGGTGGTTGCTGTCTACCAACGTACTACCTTCTAATGTCATATAATGTTATCTTTTGCAGTACATACTTGCTGTATAGCCCTTGTGGCTTAGCGCTTCTTTTTGATTATAATAATAATAATAATAATGCAATACATACTACAGGTACCAAAATATAGCATCCAGGCTCAATGCATAAAATAATAATAATAATAATAATAATAATAATAATAATAATAATAATAATAATAATAATAATAATAATAATAATCTTACTGGAACATGTGAATAACCAAGCTGGAGAACTTACCTCTGGTGAGCTTCCCTCTGGCATTGTTTGAGGAGGATCTGGAAGGCACAGAGTCATCAAATGGTGCGGCGCCCTGACCAGCCACTGCAGAATCGTAGGCACTGTAGTAACTGCTCACTGGACTGTTGGAGAATTATATCAAAGGTCAAGCACACACAGCTCATGAAACCATGTGAAGGATCAACACACATACTAGTATGATAAGAGTTTAGTCAAACATATGAATGAGTTAGAGATAATATGATAAAATAATTATTTACATGAGACACATACACACATATGTACACACTTTTTTTTAACACATCAGCCATCTCTCAATAAGGCAGGGTGACCCAAAAGAAAGAAGAACCCAAAAAGAAAAAAACTTTCACTATCAGTCAACACTTTCATCATCACTCATACAGAATCACTGTATTTGCAGAGGCACCCAAATATGGCAGTTTATATAGTCACGCCAAACTGCCAATATCCCAAACCCCGCTTTTAAAGTGCAGGCATTGTACTTCCCATTTCCAGGATTCAAGTCCAGTTAACCAGTTTCCCTGAATCCTTTCACAAAATATTACTCTGCTTACACTCCAACAGCTCGTCAGGTCCCAAAAACCATTCGTCTTCATTCACTCCTAACACGCTCAAACATGCTTGCTGTACATACACATACATGTATATACATTTTTTTTTTGTAACACGCTGACTGTCTCCCACCAAAGCAGGGCGAAACGAAAAAAAAAAAAGCACTATATCATCATTCACATTATCACTATCTTGCCAGAGGCATACAGATACAACAGTTTGGATGTCACTAAATAGCGAATATCTCAAACCCTTTCTTTAGAAAGTAAGCTCTGTACTTCCCACCTCCAAGACTTAAGTCTGGCTAACCAGTTTCCTTGAATCCCTTCCCTGGCCAAGACAAAGTGATCTAAAGAAGAAAACACATTCACTATCATTCAATCACTACCCTACATTTTTTGAGAAACATGATCGATCATACATGGTTCAACATACACAAAATGTTACTGACAAGCTGTTGGAGTGTGAGCAGGGTAATATTTTGTGAAGGGATTCAGGGAAACTGGTTAGCTGAACTTGAGTCCTGGAAATGGGAAGTACAATACCTGCACTTTAAAAGAGGGGTCTGGGATATTGAGAGTTTGGAGTGACTATCTAAACTGTCATATCTGGATGCCTCTGCAAAGACAGTTATTATGTACGAGTGATGGTGAAAGTGTTGAATAATAATCAAAGTTTTTTTTCTTTCTTTTTGGGTTTTTCTTTCTTTTGGGTCACCCTGCCTCGGTGGGAAACTGCTGTGTTAAAAAAAGAAAAAATAAATATTTTGCTGACTCAAATGAGGGTTTGCTTTGTCACAGGAAAACAGTGAAATTTGCTTGTTTGACATTTTGGTATGCATATCTTCTATTTTGTACCTAAGAACAGCCTAACATAACCTTGCTAAAAACTGTATGCCAAAAAATAACTTAATTTGCCTAACCTGATTAAGAATTTACAGAAGCATACTTCAATTTTTATCTCCTCATGAGGGAGGAAGAATCTTCAAATGACTCCTTTTATCTAGAGTGCATAAGCAAAGGGTGCTATGTAAATTTACACACAATCACTCAGACACTTTTGGCTTACTCCATTAACATTTTAAACAGGTGTTTTGTTACACGAGTAAAGTGTGGATGTAACTCCCATAATTTTTTCTCATATCCTTCCCTCAATGCTGTATGACCCTTACAGGTTTAGTGCTTATCATGAATATAGTAGCAGCAAATATAATAATAATAATAAAAACAGATATATGCAACTCAGTATGACAAGTCACTCTTTAAAACACCTAAAACTTAACATTTTTTTTTGCAAATCACAGGAGTAAACAACACCATGCAAATTCATGCAGTTCAATGCATGCAAAAATCTTACCAAAATAATGTTTTGAAAGGAAATCAAGCAAAAAACTACACTGTGGCACAAAATTAAAATGTACAACAAAAGCACATTCAGGTTTTCACCAAATGGATTCTAATACTATACTAAACATTTCTATTCTATTACATCTTGGATGACTGTCAAGGATTCTAGAATTCTAAAGCAGCAGAGAGTGGAATAGAACTTGTGTCCCTTGGTTGAGAGCCAACAGAACCTAGTGTCCCTTGGTTGAGAGCCAATAGAGCCAGTGTCCCTTGGTTGTGAGCCAACAGGACCAGTGTCCCTTGGTTGAGAGCCAACAGAACCAGTATCCCTTGGTTGTGAGCCAACAGAACCAGTATCCCTTGGTTGTGAGCCAACACAACCAGTATCTCTTGGTTGTGAGCCAACAGAACCAGCATCCCTTGGTTGTGAGCCAACAGAACCAGTATCCCTTGGTTGTGAGCCAACAGAACCAGTGTTCCTTGGTTGTGAGCCAAAAGAACCAGTGTCCTTCAGTTGTAAGCTTACAGAACCAGTGTCCCTTGGCTGTAAGCCAACAGAATCAGTGTCCCTTGGTTGTGAGCCAATAGAATCAGTGTCCTTTGGTTGTGAGCTGACAGAACCAGTGTCCCTCAGTTTTGAGCTGATAGAACCAGTGTCCCTCAGTTGTGAGCTGACAGAACCAGTGTCCCTTGGTTGTGAGCCAATAGAGCCAGAGTCCTTTGGTTGTAAGCTGATAGAAACAATGTCCCTTGGTTCTGAACTGACAGAACCAGTGTCCCTCAGTTGTGAGGCAACAGAACCAGTGTTCTTTGGTTGTGAGCCAAGCACCATAATCCTAGTCTACAGGCTATCCTTCTTTTGTGAGAAATGAGTGTTACAAGTCCTCATTACATCCAGGAAGTAATTAAAATATCCCTAATCCAACAAAGGTAAGAAATAAATGGTAGTGAGCAGCAAGAAAATATATATTAAGAACTGAAGGGATGCCTAATACTCTACCATAATTAAATTAAAATTTTAAATGCTACTATCAGAGGATCTTGCCACACAAAAAACTATTATATGACAAGGTTTTGTTTTGGTTGATTTGACTATCGCCCACAGGATGGGCATGGGGTGTGTAATAAAGATATTAAACTAGTTACGATTGCTTTAATCTAACATGCTTCCAACTGAACCCAGCATGAGAGCTAAACTCTAATGTCCAAAGGAAAAGTTAGCCTGAAGGATGACACTAGAAATTTAATATTACTTGAAATTAGTGTTTTCTTTTGGTTCTTCAAAGATTACGAAAGGTAGTCTGCTCTAGAACCTAAAATGAAATTTTAGAAAGCAAAAATCAGCATAAGCTAATGACTGCAAGGCTAGAATAAGACAATTATTCCAAAGAAAACATACAACAATTAAAAAGTTTAGCAAACCCAAAAAGGATTAAAAAAAAATTCCTCAAAGCTGTGAAAAAAAACTAAATAAAATATTAATGATAAAAATTGATGGCGTTACAAATTCTTAACATTAAAATATTTTTGTACGTTAGTTTATAGGGTTTATGGAGCCTGAATGACCAAAGTGCAGCTGTTAGGCTTTAAGCCTCACAACCTAAACTCCTGTAAATGAATGAAGAACGAGAGCTCTGAACAAACTTCAGAATTAATTTCTTGATGTGGTTCTGAATATCATTTTGTTACCGCTTACTATTTTCCTCAAATGCTATTCTCTTCATTTAAAATTAGATTACATTTTTTAGGTTAGGCTAGGCTACATAAACCTATACAGGTGTTCCACATTTTCACTGGCTTTCAACAGGCAGTGACAATCACCATTGGATGGAACACACTCAACAATGGCTCAATTTGAGACCAACGAAAATGTGGAACACATAAAAGAAGTTGCTGTATTGAGGGGTCCTCCTTTATTTAACTCCTAACACCCAGATTACAAAAAGTGGCCACTGTACATCTGACGATGTGGTTTAAGAGAAACGGGAAACATTCAGTTCTGGACGTATATCTCTCTTGCTGTGAGAATGGGGTGTGATGGGAAACTCAAGTGCTTAAATTAAAAAGTTCATTGCAAATAATCATCTGGCATTACAAAAACACTCTCCTGAGAGAAAAACAATAATTATTTTTGACTGTGATGTGATAAAAAAAAACATTAAAAAAACAAAAGGATAAGGATTAAGAAAAACAAACGAGTTAATTACAAACTCCTTAAATGATTTCAGTGGTAAAGAGCAGTTAAATGGATGTAGATATATATAAAAATAGGAGATTGATAAGCACAGACTGTTAAAATTCATTTGCCCATGTATAGAATAAAGAAGAATTATTAAAGAGTCAAAGCCTTTAGGAAACAGGAAGACTGCAAGGCCATATCAACTACAACAACCTATTATTATTATGTGCAACTTCAAGATTATTATTCTTATAAACCACCACCTTGACTACCTCCCATTAGTATTAAGATTAAATAAAAATTTATTAAAAAATGACCACTTTTATCTTGTCTAGATATAAGTAATTATTATGTACTAGGATTAGTCTGCCCGAAATGCCCGAGCATGATAGTGGCATTCTTGGTACTTAGCAAACAAAAATGTAATTACATATTCTAAGCTTTACAAGGAAATAAAATCTGTATTCTTTATATTAAAAAAGGATGAAAGACATTTCAAAATTTCTAAATGACAAAAAAAGAAAACAAAATGGACAATTTTTCAAAATGAAAATAATGTAAGTGTCTGAGTGGAGACAATGGTAATTTGCTAACAGTTGGTAACAAAACCACAACTGCAGTGTGAAGCTATATTTGCACAACATTTCACCCAACACTGGGTTTTCACAGGTACACTGAAAAAGCCAACTCCTGAGAGAAACATTGAACAAATAAAGATGCAGTCATACAAGTTACAGAAACATAGTGGGGTAACATTTAACTCCTAAGATATTCTCCAAACTGTAATACAAACATAGACATTTCTAAGTAGTAATAGTAAGGTATATGTACTACACAAGTTTAAAGGAAGCATCTGAAGCCTTACTTCCCACTCCAAGGAAAACAGTGAAATATGTTTATATAAATTCTTAGTGTATGTAAGTAATTTAACATTATGTAAATTTTAACAATATCTAGATACTTTCCATTCTTACTTTACGTAAGTAATTTAACCCTTTCAGGGTTTTTGACGTACTAGTACGGC